CGATCCCAATACGAAGTTCGCGAACATCAGGGATATCCATCGGGCTCAAATCGAAGCGGGTGAAAAGGAGGTTATCACGGCTGAATCCAGCGACTCTGAATGCCCTAGTGAGGCTGGCAGCTGTATTGTAGTGGGTGTGGTTGAGGATCAATAGTTAATAGTAATGAGGAGGTTGGGTTGTGATCCCATCGTTTTTGTGGTGCCAGAAACAGGGGGGTGCCAGGAAGTGGGTATGTTGACTTACGTCTCTAATGAATCGGGTCGGACGGCTGCGTTGTAGATAACAGAGTACTCGTGCCTGGAACTCAATGATCTTGGTGTAAAGATTGACTAGGTTGCGTTCTAGATCCAACTCGAGCCTTCTGGCTGACTCTGCTGGTAGACTCTCCATGCGGGCTTGAGGGCGGTAAACCTGCTCCATCGCGAAGTATCGACAGATGAGAGAAGATGTCAGTTCAAGACCTCGGAGTATATGTTCTCTCTGCTCTATGGGACGGACGAGGAACTGCTCGGACGTTAGTCGTGCTATGCCAAGAATGAGCTTTCAGTATATGAGGTGGCACAACGAACTGTTAGAATGACAAGTCCTCCGGCACAAGCAAGAGCGGCGTGAGGGTCGGCCCCGGCGGCACTGCTTATGAGGTCCTTTGCGGCGATGATGTGTTTCGATACATTGTTGAACAAGGGCTCAATAGACAACTCGCGACTTCCAAGGGAAACGGCCAGCCGCTCTTGGCTCAGTTCTTCCACCTTCGCGTTCAATATCTCTGCGACTTGTTCATACTTGAGATGACTTGGACCTTCGGCTCCAAGCCCACCTTCAGACCCATTTAGCTTCGAGGCCAGGATCTCAGCATATTGCTGGGCGAGCTCCCGCTTTTCTGAATCGGGACCATCCTGCATGGCTTGCATCGCCTTCTCCCAAAGATTTGTCAGATTCGGTCTGGTGTCTTCAGCTGGTGTCGATACCGAATTCAGTGGGGTAGCGTTGCTTATGCTGTCAACACCCTCCTCGACATCCGTCGGCACTGGAGATGGCTCGGGCGGACATTCGAAAGAAGCCTCGCTTGGATTGGTCAGAGAGTGAGATGAGGATGCCATTGGGGACAATCCGGGGTCTGCTAACATAGCATCATCCTTGAGTCTCCACTTACGTCTTAGCCTCTCGAGCCAAGCCATTTTCCTCATCTTGTGAGATTCCAGCGGCTGCGCCGACATAGTCGAAAAGAAGGCACCGGAGCAAATCTGGTGGACGTTAGGGGATTGATATCGCGGCAATTTTGACGTAAAAATTCTGAGATTTTGTGAGATGGATTGGGAAAAGATGAGAAAGTCGATGAGGAATCTGGATGAGGGGGTTGGGGGGATGCACAATACTGCACATCTGTATGAATCAGGCAGCTAACGGGCGAAGGGCAGATAGGCAACCAACGGCCAATCAAGTTTATGCGACGAGCCAACCGACTGCCTCAACATGCAACGCAACCGCCGGCGTTACCTTGGCATGACAAGTGGATGAAAATAACAAGCTGCAAGGCTCTGTATTTACCGGTCATTGGCTGAATATGGCGCAGCATGTGTGCTGATCCCGCTGGTCGTCTCATTCTGGCCAACACGAGCGGATGAGGAAGCAGAACGATAATCGCAACTATGCACAGACAAGCTCACAAGAAAGGTGGCGCAAGACGAAAGAGGCACAAGTGTTTGAAAGCCATGTCTGACTGCCCTGCCTAGAAGTGACTGAACCATATTCCTACATCAAAACCTCGAATAAAACCGAAACCGTTTCCATCTCCGTGCGGTAAGGGGTATCTTCACAAATCAATCGCCGTTCCATGTTCCATCCAGACTCCCTTGTCAAAAATTCCATGTCCTTTCCCCAGTAGGAACGCCCGAAACACAGAAGACTGGCTCCTCAAATATATTTCATGATGGGAATTCTGCCGTAAGGTTGCATCCGGAACTCGCACCGGTCCTAGCAGCTCGATCCCTGGTTGCTCGCCTGGAGGTTGGCGGGAGCCGCAGGGACGACGGCCGTCATGGAGCTAGTGCGGGAGGTTCCGACCGCCGCGGCATCAACGTTCTGCCAAGCTGTGTCGTTGGAATCCTGGATTCCCTGGGGCGAAGTGCCGCTGGCTGAGAGGTAGACGCTGCTGGTGTCGCGGAGCATAGCCGGGGCGAATGGGTCGAACACGGCGGGCGGCTGGGTGATAACGGTTCCATCAGAACTCTTCTCGGACTCTTCGGTCGAGCTGCCTGCATGAGCTTGCTCATTCGCAAGGGCGGCGGCAATCTGACGGCGATGAGCGATCTCTGCAGCGTCGGCAGGCAGGTGAAGATGACCCTCATGAGAGAGCTTGGGAAAGGTAGTCGAGCGAACTCGTTTCTCATCGTCAATAAGAGCGTTGGTCTTCTTGCGGAAAGAGCGCATTTGAAGGCTCATAACCACAGTGAAGATCATGACGATGAGGCTCACCATGACCCAGACAACGACGAAGTAAGGGATGCTCATCTGGGAAGCTACCATGGTCAAACTGACAGTGATGGAGACAACCGTCTGGGTGACGAAGAAGAGAGTAAGGACGACGGACCCGACATAGATATTATCATCGAGACTGATGCGCTGGTACCAAGTGGTGTCTGTCTCGAAATCCTTCTTTCGCTTGTCCTGGCGGCGTCGGAGGATCTGAAGATTAAGGAGCTGGGAGCTCTTGCAACGGCGGTAGAAGACTTCGAAGGGTCTCTGTCGGTGCTTGGAAGAAACGGCCTTGATTGAGTGAGCATCCTGCTGAAGCTGCTCGACTAGGGTGGGAATGTTGGCCAAGTTGCGACCGGTCAGGTTGCATCCAGTCTCGTGAACAGAGAGGCCTTGAGGGTGAGACGCAAGCAAGCGGCCGTTGGGATGGTTGATCTGGAACTCGTCTAGGGACTCGGTGACGCTGATCTCAACCGCTGGATTGTAGTCGTCTCTGGGATTGTGGTCGAATCGGCTGGAAGTTCCAGTGAAGCTTCGGACAATGGGCACCATAGTCGAGGTGCGGGGTGTCGCGTTCTGGAAGGGCCAGCGAGGAGATTTGGCTTTGCCGCTGAGAGGGTGTTGAGGCAAGATCATGCTCTTGCCTCGGACGGTGAGCGGAGTATAATTGAGGTCGATGACCCGATCAGACTCCTCCGAAGACATGGGAGAAGGAGGAATGGGCGTCGAGGGGTTCATCGCAGGGCGAGGCGCACTGTCCGGCTCATCGGAAAGGTCTGAGATATCATCGCTAGTGAGAGTCTTGATGATTCTCGGCTTGTTCGGCAGCTTGAAGGAGGTAAATTCCTCCACAGAAGGGTATGCCGCTCCACGACTGGCGACCGCAGTTGTGGCAGAGCTGAAAGAGGCCTGCGGTGGCAGCGACATTCTTTGCTCGCGGATGTGAATGCTCTGTGACGAATCCTCCAAGTGAGGGTATTCGGAAAAAAGAGAGTGACGGAAAATGAATGACAAAGAGGATGTTGTGGGAATGAAGGAATAGCCTTGAGCTTTGACAAACGAAAGGAAAAGCCGTTTGGCGATGGGGAAAAGAGAGTGCTGGCTTTGTGAGAAGGAAAGTCTTATTCCATGTTGTTCTGGGTGGAAAGGTTGACGCGGTCCAAAGGTTGAAGACGCGTCTGCCTCCAGGCACCCACAACACCACGGGTCCGCGGTGAGCAAAGTTTTTCTCCCAGAGGGAAGGAAAGACCGGGCGGCTTCCACAATTGAAGAAGGTGAAGTTATCGTCAGGAAAAAGAGAAGACAAGAAAGAGATGCCTGTGGTTAAATCCTGCACCACATTGACTCAGGGTCAAACCACCCCAGGAATGTTGAGTTGCCATCAGCAATCATCCTCCATTCCAGCATCCCAGTTACAGTAACCCAATTCAATGTTTATTTTCATGTCTCAAATAGGTTTTCCGCATTTGGACAACCTCAAATCGATCCGTTTAAACTTTATGATGCCCATCATCTCTCAGACACGTGGTCAGACAAGAAAGTGGGCAAAACATATGCAACTACGGGGTGATCAACAATCTGGAGAAATAACCTCGGACCGTACAGAAACATCCGGAAATTGATGAGTCAAGTTCTTCGGAACTTGCGTGGTCTGACTATTGCAGTCCACTCCGTCTCGACGTCGTCCAAGGCTTGTAAGTCGTTGCCAAGAATGCTCCTTCCCCAGCGAAACCCCAATAACAGGCCGAACGCGCCTGCCCATCGTCGAAAGATTACAGGAAGTATTTACTGATGTATGCAAGCCCATGGAAGATTAGGGTTTCTGGCACACTCGTTACTCTGCCTGAATAACAAGGTAAATTCTAGGTTCCAAAGCAGATATCGGAGACCATTTTTCTGGGTCTCTTGAGTATTCGCTGCAACATGGGATGAAAAAAGGAAATTTATGTGTGCCAATCGCGTAGTCATTCTTCTAACAAATTCTATACCCTATTCACCCTGTCCACGATCACCGAATCAAGCACGCTCTTACTCTGGTGTTCCAGGCAACTTCGATAACTCCTCCTTTGTGCTGTCAGCCCAGTTTCCTTTCGACTCACGGATGACGTCAAGACTTGAGTGCGTACTAGAATCAGAAACCTCCGGGGCTTCTCGACCATTTGCTCGCTGGATAGCTTCATTTGTGATGGAGTCCGGCTTGGGACGCTGCTCGCCCTCGTAACGCACACCATTCACGAAACATCCCTCTGAAGCAGCATCCCCAACAGTGGTGGCATTGAAAGCGTCTCTCATTCTGGCAACCTCCAAGTCGTGCTTGAGTCCTCTTTTAGACCATTGGATCAGAATGATAGCCACCATGGCCCAGAGGACTACAATACCGCTGAAAGCGATCCAGGTGAACATAAAGGGGAGATTCAAGGGAGGTTGAATGTTATCTCTGGCGAGATATATCCCGACTGAAAAGAACAGACTCGCTGAAAACCCTGCAAAGATGCCGACTGCTTTATGCATGGAGAAAGCCTTGGCCCTAGCACGGTAGAAGGGGTGCTCCTCGTTGTCACCATGGGTTCGCAACTGGTATAGGTACAGCGCAGACTCGACCTTCTCCCAGAATGTCTTGATTGGCGGCAGTTCTTCATTGTCGGTTAGCTGCCTACCTTGGTCAGTTACATGACCAGTACTCGCTTCCTCGTGGACATAGAGGTGCTCTGAGTTCTGTCGACGAGAATGCGCCGGGAGCCGTTGTCCATTCTCGGCGTCAACCATCTGGATCGGCAAGTCGCCCTGGATAGCGCCGCTGCAGTATGGGGTTTCGGCGGAGATATCGGCCGTCTGAGCGCTTGTGTTATGGGAATCCGGGGTCTTCTGATTGGTCGAAGAGTTAGCTTTGTCTTTGTTGTACTTCTCGACGAGGCGCAGCGGTCGAGGTTCTTTGGTCGACACTGGCTGCTCATTTTGGTGAGAACTGGCCCATTCGGGCTTCTTAGGGGCGTTCTTAGCTTGCACCGCTCTGAGTTGATCCTTCAGGGCGGTGGTGGCAATATTGCTTTCGAAATATGATTGAGCCATTGTGATGCGATTGGGAACACTGAAGATATGTTAGTTGCTGGTTTGGTTTGTAGGGTAATGTGAATTGAGCGGGCAAGTTTACGAAGTTGGCAGCTTCGAGCTTGTTAAATGCTGCGTCTTCATTGCGAGTCTTTGTCTCGAACAAAGTCTTGTCCTAACTGAATGTCGTTTGTTATGAAATGACTTGGCGGCACTGCCTTTTGTTCATGATAGGCATGTCACAATGGGCGGTTGGCACAAAGTGGACAACTTTTTGCCAGGAGAAAGGTTTTGGGTAGGGACAACCAAAACGATGAAACAGTCATCTAAGGTAGATGTTGGTTCATTACAGCCAAAGCTGTTTCAGTACGGTCGAAGACTTCAACGGTGGTGAAGGATCACGTTGAGGCTATGAGGAGGGGCAACTAGCTGGTCATGCCAAAATACCTGTACTCTGTCGCCTCTTATGCCGCCCACTGCAACGAGACGACGTTGAACGGGGTAAAGAAGAACAGGAAAGGGGCAAAAGGTACTTCAAGGGAATTGACGACACAGAAGTAGATTCTAGTCTAACAAATTTGTCGCTAGCTACTCTACCGCTACAGGATCAAACGACATCTCATTATTGAGTCCTTAATCAATTCTCCTATCAACGAGACATCGTATGTAGGCTGCCCTTTCCATTCTTTGAACC